TCTCTCTCTCTCTCTTATAGTACTAATTTTATGCTCATGTTTTTCTGTTACAGGAATGCATCCTCAGTGGAATGCTCTCTGTGTCGGGCAAGAAGGTTCTTCATTTAGACAAGAACACGTACTACGGTGGTGAAAGTGCCTCGCTCACTCCTCTTGACCAGGTCTGTAGAAGTGATTGTGGCTTTTGCTTGTTTGTTTTGTGGGTTTCTATTGGTGGGTTTTCTCCTGTGAAGACCTACAGGTTCTTTTCCTCTCTATCATATAATTCAGAGCTCTGGTCTAGCACAATTTAATGTATGCCAATTCAATTATAAAATTAACACATGAAATGGTCGCTTTTAAAAGCACAAGGGGGCTATCCCGAAAAATGCTGTTTTGAGAAAATTCAGTTTCTTTGAATGTTAAGGAGTTTTCTCTATAACCGAACAAGGAAACCAAACTTCTCCAATAGGTAGGGCTATGCCCACTTTATGTGTAGGTCAAGATTTCTGGAATCCCTCGAAATCTGGGTTAGCCCGCATCCTTAAAAGCGACCATCATTTGTAAAGCCTTGGCAAGAAATTCTATGTTTAAGTAAGTCGTGGTCTGGAAATGTTACTGTACATTCATTCTGATTTAGACATGTTCAAGGCAAGACTTTTCAGCTACCATTCCACACCATTTAAAAAAAACAATTTTGACAGATGCATACCTATATATGGCATCTGAAAAAAATGCTTCTTTGTTGACTAATTAATTACTTTCTCACATTAATACAACACATTCTGTTTTTGATGTATTTGATGGTACCTTAATCGTGTAACGCATGATGATGATGATGAACAAAAGCAATTGGTTACCATCTCATCTACCCTTGTGTTATTGTAGCCCGAGTCAATAGTCCTTTGTTTGGAGCCATGACTAAATGTGTTTACCAGTGAGTTTTTCAATGTTCACTTGTTGTTTTGTCCAACTGGGGAATGGCAAAAGGATGTACAAAAATTATGATATTGATAAATAAATTTCACTGATACACTGCGGCATTTCTGCCAAAAAAGTGCTATATGCACTTGACAGTTATTATTATGATACAAAAATACTCAAGCACCAAACAGTTCCAGTGGTGATCTCCCCCCCCCCCCCCTCTCTCTCTCTCTCTCTCTCTCTCTCTCTCTCTCTCTCTCTCTCTCTCTCTCTCTCTCTTTCTCTCTCTCTCTCTCTCTCTCCTCTCTCTCTCTCTCTCTCTCTCTCTCTCTCCCTCTCTCTCTCCCTCCCTCCCTCCCTCCCTCTCTTTCTCTCTCTCTCTTCTTTCTTTCTTCCCACTCTCTCTTCAACATAAAAACACACAAAATATTGGTTTAGTTTTCGAATGTTAAAATAGCTGATTCTCTTTTCTAACGGTCTTTTCCTTCCATTTTGATTATTGAACAGAGAAGCTCAGCAAGTTGCTAATAACTTGTTTGTTGAACAAGCCTTAAGTCTAAGTGTTGGGTTTAGTGTACCTCTGTTTTAGTTTTAAGGTTTTTATGGCGTTCTCAACTGCATAAAAGGTCATATGAGCGCCAAGTGGTGAATGTCAACAGAGAAGTCCAAACAGGGAATCAGGCTTTCTGTGCTCACCTCTCTAGCCTCAACAGCACAAAGTCTGCTTCGACTATCAAGGCACCTCGGGAAATAGCAGTTCACAAGAGAGTGACAAACATACAAAAGGAGTAGAAAAAAATGACGATAATAAGGATGAGGAAAGAACAGGCAGCAGTTCCCCCTATGTTGTTCCTGCACAGTATGAGCATGACATTGATAAATCAGCCCATTTACAATTCTACTGTGCGTAAGAACATGTTAGCATCCCCCCTTTGGGAATGGCCTAAAAACGGTTGACAGCACTTCTGTGAGGAACCTAAAGGGCTAAGGTATATTTTATTTTTGAACGACGTATAACAAGCTTTGGTTTGTGTAACGTTGTGAACTGACTGAGACTGGAGACGGGAGAGGTGGTTGTTCCTGAAAATGTAAGTTGTAAGTTGTTTTCCCCATACTGTTCTTTATGTTTATAAGTTTTGGGAAATATTTGAGCAAAGGCATTTTGTTTCAGGTGCAATTTTAAATGCTTTAAAAAAGCTTACGAAGTATTAATTTTTTTCCATATTCTTCAGGTGTATCAACATTTCGGAAAGCCAGAAGTGGGTGACAAATTCGGCAGAGGAAGAGACTGGAATGTCGACCTCATTCCCAAATTTCTTATGGCTAATGGTATGATTTTTAATCTTCTAGCCTCATATTTTTTCGTTTTTGCAAAGTAATCTTATTCATTGTCTGTAATTGTCTAGGGACAGTTTTGCGTAATATTTTGTTTTATAAGTGTGTGATCTTATAACGCATGAAGAGTACTTAACATTCCTATCTGTTTTTCAAAGAGATTTTGTTTTTCTCTTATTAAAAGTTTTGGCATCAATCAGCGACTTGCACTGTATGCTTTTCTGGAAGCCGAGAATGTCTATGAGTGTTCTAGGGTCTGCTGGGGTAATAGATTACAAAGTGCTTAGAGAGCTTGCTGTTGCGCAGGGAATAAAAGCTATACAAATGCTACTTATTTATTTATTGTAGCCTGTTAAGTAAAGTTATTCCCGCATCTGATCCGGACATTGGGGATTGCCTTATTAGTGAGACAACTTCCTGAGCCTTCGGCATATTGTGGTAGGCTGGCCAGTTCCTGTCCACGCCGCCTTTACTTCCCCAACTAGAAGTCAGGTACCCATTACTGCTGGGTGGGCAGGAGGGGGCGGAAAAAATAGAGTCCAAACCTGTATTCCAATCTTTTTGTTTCAGGCCAGCTGGTGAAGCTGCTGATCCACACCGGTGTGACCCGCTACCTGGAGTTCAAGTCTGTGGATGGAAGCTATGTGTACAAAGGTGGAAAGATCTACAAGGTTCCCGCTGATGAGAGGGAGGCTCTGGCTTCTTGTAAGATTTTTTAAAAGTACAATGGAGTCTGTTTAACACTTTGCTGCCTCATCTAGCCGATCGGCCATGTTTATCACCCAGTTTCTTTGGATTTTCCCCAAAATGTCTTTGCCTTTGATGGCAAGAGTTTTTACTATATGAGCCTTGTGATGGCAAAGTATTAAGGCGGAGTCTGAGGGACTACTGGATCTTCTTTGGTTTAGCGGGGTTTTTGGTTCGGAAAGGTTGTTTAAATAGAAAGAAAAAGAAATCGGGGAATTTATTTTCTTTTAGTTTACCGCTGTTCTCAGATTAACTGTTCAGTTTAAGCGGACTCCAGTGTATTGTAAGTTTTTTTTTACGATGAAAATTTTAATTCCTTATTTTACACCCACTGCTGGGTGTGTGGGCCTGTAGGATGTTACATGACCATTATAGTGAATAGTGTACTTGCATGCTGGAAGTTATTTTTCCATACAGGCATGTACGTTCACACACATCGTTCACCTCTGTCTGTCGTATAGAGGTTAGGCACTTCATTCTCATGTGTAAGCCTTATGGACATAGAACTACGTCAAATGAAGCAGTTTGAGTTTGTACAATTTATCAGTATGAAATGATAAAAGACATGTTAGACTTGAAGAGAAAATGGCACCAGTGGAAAATCTACAAATTTGACTTCTGTGTCAATTTTCAGTCGATAGCTCCATTCGTGGATTGCAAGAAATAACTCGTTTTGTCCGCTCACCCCACATTTTGTCCCGTTGTTCTTTTACAAAGATGACATGGTGTGTGTTGTTGGCGGGTGCTCTGGTGTGGTTTGCTCCTTCTGTTCTATCTCGTCCTGATCTCTCCTTCTTTTTTTTTGTGTGTGTTTGCTACTCTGTTTGTAACATCCTAATCTTCAGCATTTATATGACCTTATTGTATTGCAAGTGCCGTAAAACACTTACTAAAACTTATTTCTTGCCTCTCCAGCTTTGATGGGCATCTTTGAGAAGCGTCGCTTCAAGAACTTCCTGCAATACGTCCAGGACTACGACGAGAACGACCCAAAGACATTCAAGGGCGTGGACCCGTCCATGTCTGCCAAGGCGCTGTACGAGAAGTTTGGCCTTGACGCCAACACGCAGGACTTCACAGGTCACGCCCTCGCGCTCTACAGAAACGACCAGTAAGTGGGTCATCCACCGGCCGGACAGTTAGGACACTTCAGTCACCGCGTCGTGCATGGGGATTTTCAACCACTCTAGTTAGACTCACATATTAAATCAGTCTCAGTGCAACCAGCAACAGATCATAAAGGCACTAACTATACTTGATGACCAACTGGGACTTGCAGGGTGGCCAGGAAATTTGGTAATTGGTCGTAAATTTTAGTTTAGGTCGGATAAGTCTGATTTTTGTCGGAAAAATTTTGTTCCGATGGAAATGATTGGGTCAACATCAGCAATAAAAGGACATTTGTGGAAACTTGTAATTTGTTTGTTCCACCCCGACTTGATTTCACCCATGTTGGGCCTTTGCCAACAGGTCAGAACTTCATCTTGTACTATGCGTGTGACCTGTAAAGATGGGCCAGGGTTAAGGGTCAAAGTGCAGGATGGTGCACAGTGGTGTATATTCCATCAGTCATCCTCTGTGTTAGTTAGAAAACGTGTGCTTTTCATTGCGTGGGTGATTATAGTAGATAGTCCCGTTTTGGCTGAATTGAAAACTGCCAGAATTCTATCATCACTGCACTGGCACACCCCCCACCACTACCACTACCACCACCACCACCAGTCCTTTCAACTTGGACCCTTTGTGTACATGCTTTCTCTTTGTTTTTTTTTCCTCTACTTTGAGACCCGTCTTTGAACTTGCTCCTGCAGTAGATTTTGTCTTACGCCCTTTGTTGTATCTGTGAATGCTGAAGCCAAGACATACAGGTACTCTTCATGCATTATAAGATCACACACTTATAAAACAAAAGGGAGTGAATAGCACCACATTTAATTCCATTAACTGTCAGAAGAGTATGTCATAAGAGAGAGAGAGACAGACAGAGACACAGTGAGAGAGACAGACAGACAGAGGCACACAGTAAGAGAGAGAGAGTTTGAGTTTCTGGCCTGTCCACTGGCGCAAATCAGACTGCTTCATTTATAAATAAAAGTTATGTTTCTAAACATATGATGATTTGAGGGGGGGGGGGGGAGAAATAAGACCAGACTGAAATATCTAAGTTACACAAGACAAGACTCTCAGTGGCCCTTTAACATGGATGGAAGATGATGTACCTGTATGTCTGTATATATCTTTTGTATGTATGTGTCTAGCTGTCGTCTGTGTGGGTGGTTGGCGGGTGCTCTGGTGTGGTTTGTTCCCCCTCTTTCCTATCAAAAATCTATCGTACAAGACATCTCTCCTCCTCCTTTTTTGTGTATGTTACTCTCTTGTGACACCTCTAATTTTCAGCACCTATATGACCTTATTGTGTTGTAAGTGCCGTAACACTCTTACGAAAAGTAACTGTTCAACAGTGACTGGAATCCTCATACCATAAATCGAGTCTCAAGGAGAGATAAAATGCTGCTTCACCAGTATTTGTGGTGCAAACGTCTGCCTGTAACTTGCAATGTGTTTTCCTCC